CAACCAAACATGTAAACAGTGAGGGTGCTACATGTTTGCCTTCATGTTACCTGAGTAGTCCACGATGTGTGTGGGCACCTTCTCTGGAGTTACGTCAGCAGGGATGGTGATCTCTTCAGCTCTGGGGGGAACCTGTTCAGAGATTTTACACCATAATCTGTATGAACTTCTCATCATTTAATCAGACAGCAGCTGTCCATTACACACACCCAGATTATCAATTACACAGTACGCATGGGCAAAATAATGGTCTAAAAAGCTGACCTGACACATGTGGCAATGCTCCCTGTCTTACAATTAAAAAATGTCTTGAAAGTACACAGAAAGTACATGCAAATCAGTTTGCATGTTCTCCCCGTGCAGCGTGGGTTCTGTCCGGGTTCTCCGGCTTCCTCTCACAGTCTAAAAACATTTTGAGGTTAATTGGTGATTCTAAATTGTCCGTAGGTGTGAATGTGAGTGTGCTTGGTTGTCTGTTTCTAAGTGTAGCCCTGTGACAGACTGGTGACCTGTCCAGGGTGTCCCCTGCCTTCACCCTGAGTCAGCTGGGATAGACTCCAGCCCCGCCACCCTAGTGAGGATTAAGCGGTGTATAGATAATGAATAATGGTTCAGGCATGCATGCTGTGGTTTACCTGACATGAATCAAGTTTCATTATTTAACAATCACACCTCATGCATTTTGCAACACTTCTGACCCAGGGTGTAAACTGTTGTGACAACAGTCTTACAAAGTCATGCTGTCGTACAGTTACACATTGGTTTGTGTGTCATGTGTGACCACTCCATCACATGTTTTACATTTATTACATGGTTAATACAGAACTGAAGCTTAACTTTTAGAAAACTGTATCGCAATCAAATCGCAACGTCTTTCAGAAAAATAACAATCACATAAGTTTGCTAAATCATTTATCCCTACTTCAAAGTCCAATCACAAAACAGATTTAATGATCTATCATAGAAGTTTTATGATGATTTATAACTGAGGCACTAATGGCTTCAACTACACATTGATCTGCCTTCTTCTGTCATGGCATGTTCACAAAGGAATCTGATGATTACTGTAGAAGTACTACAGCCCTAATTGGCTGACCGAGTCCAGTGCAGGGAGCAACAAGCAGCTGTTTATCTACTTGGAGCCAACAAATGGGATGTTAAAACAGTTTAAACACAGCAGGGGTGACTATCTGTGCTGACAATTACCTCTTCAGGGAACTCCTCACCAACCAGAGACATGATGAGTGATGTCTTCCCCACCTTGGCTGTTGGAGAAGAAAATATAAAGAAGATGAGAGACAAGAGACGAAAGGATCCCATGTACAAGCAGCTACATGTGCTAGCAAGTTAGCTAACCGGCTATTATTTACGTTATCATTCAAATGTTCTCATATAGCCTGAGGTGCTGCTGGTTAATATGGAAATAAGCCAGCACTGTTTTTTTTTTTTATCAGAGTAAACAGCATAAGCATTGAGTCTAACGCGTTTCACCCTCAAGAAAGCACAGTCACATGTAAGGTTATTCTAACTCGTAATTTTAGAATCCTAACGGTTTTAACGCTAATTAGCTAATGAGGCAACTCCCAGACTGCAGCTAATGCCGGGCTAGCTAACATGCCAATACTTTCTAACTTAAGGATACTTTCTAAAACAACAATTAACGCCAGCCAAAATACATGTGTGTATTCCATAAGGTGAATTTCTGAGGGAAACTGGTTAGTTGGCAGATAAAAGCCAAAAGCACGACCGTTATAGCAACTATCAAATGGAAGTTGATAACTAACGTAATTAATCGTTATAACTTCACAGCAAAAACACTTCAAGCTAACATGGCGGAAATTGGCATTTGGACAGCTGCCACTTTGCATAAAACACCTCGTTTCATTTAATAGGACACACTTTCTCCAGAGACATTTATATCCACCTTTAAGCGGGTATCACCACCAGGAGTAACCGAGGTAAATTCAGCTAGAAGTTAGTTAGCAGCAGCAGCTAATGTTTGCTAGCTGTTTAGCTTGTGGCCAGCTGTGAGTGTGAATGACTTACGTTCCCCCAGCAAAAGTATCCTGACGTCTTGTTTCATGGTTCCTCTCTCTTCGAACAACAGCTGGACGCGCCGCTAGTGCTACAGCGACATTTATCTTTCATTTGAATGTCAAATTTGTAGCTAAAAACCAAACGCGTGCCTCTGCACAGCGGTATGCACCCAAGGTGAAACCATATCGTTCCGGTTCACAGAGGAGACGGAGGAAACGCGCCCCCTGCTGGAGCAACACGTCTACTGCTCTGGGTTTCACTGTTTACCTGTAAACCGTAAAAACACACATCATGCCCGCAGAGTGGAGTAAAACTATTTAATTCTGTAATATAGTTACATTAAATTATTTTAATTATACATGTAAATACAGCTTCTGCAATATTATTTTTCTGTTTTCCACAGCTGCATAAAATGATCATAATCTACTATTAGCAGTGACATATTTGGCTCATTCTTTTCTTTAACAAATGTTTATAATGTAACTAAGGCAAATTACAGGCATTCATTTTATTCCCAATAATTAGACTGGCTTTTATTTAATAAATGATACTTACAGAAAATTCATATATGAACACGATACATATTTTATTTTCAGTCATGTTAAAATAATATCAAACTTTTAATGAAATGCATCCTTAAAAAAAAAAAAAAACTTAATTGCTGAGTTATTTATTTATTTTACAGACACTAGAAAAATGCAAATACCACAATGAAAATACACAGTTAAAGCATTTTTATTAAAATATTAAAATGTTACTTCAGTAAAATTAAGATGCTTAATATTAAGTGTAAGCAAGTGTAAGAGTGAGTGTGTAAATTCAAAGTGCTTATGATGTTTGAGGAAAGGTTCCTTTCTGAATATTGTGGCATTCTGCATATATTAGCATTTAATTACTGGCGCCTCAATGCAATAATGTGAGAAGCTCAGTTCAAATGCTTTGTATACTGATGAGTGCTGTAATTAAAAGGTATATATTTCTAAACAAATCATAGGTTAAATAAAGTGAATCTTCATCGCAATGACTGACTGTGAATTTCAGCAATCCAGGTCATTGTAATCCTAAGAGCCTCAGCAGCAGGCAACTGGGCTTCTCTTTCTGATTCTTGAAGATGTTTCACCTTCACCTAAGAGGTGTCCTTAGTTCTTATTGACTAGGGGGAGGCATAGCTGTTTGTTGACGCTTCATCGCTCAAGATTCACTGTCCCTAGTCCTGATGACCGGACCCACATGACACAAGGTGGTAATGGTGGTGAAATGTTTATCTTTTTACTTATTCAGTTGGTAATTATATATTACCTATTGGTCTCTCATTCTGTATTCTTTAGTATGACTGTATGTATGTGTGTGTATATGTGTGAATATATATATGTGTACAGATGTGTATGTGTGTATGTATGTGTGTGTGTATATATATGTATGTGTATGTGTATATTGCTATATGATTTTGTTTTGTTAATTCTTTGTTTATTTGGTACTTGTCTTTACATATTTGAAATCAATCAATCAATCAATCAATCAATCAATCAATCAATCAATCAATCAATCAATCAATCAATCAATCAATCAATCAATCAACTGCCTGGGGATGGTTCTCAGGACAACATTCTGAGTTCCTGATAAGTGGTGCGATAGACTTTCTCCAGTAATTAGAGTTTCCATCAGTCCTCTCTCACACCATCTGTCTTCTCTTTCCAGAATGTGAACGCTGCTGTTCTAAAAGAAGTGACCCTATCTTTAGATGTAGGAGAACTTTCCTGTGCTGAGCCATGTATCTGTGGAGCAGTTGTTTAGTCTGCCCTATGTGTAGGTCTCTACACTACTGCTGTATTGGGTGACATACACAGCCTTACTCAGCTGGTGTTTGGGTGTTTTATCCTCAGGGTGAACCACTTCTCATCCTGCTGGGTCTGAAATGCACTGGGAGACACTCAGACACAGACACATGGTAAAAGGATAATATTTGTGACACGAAATGAAGAATGAAGCAGGATAAAATACAAGTACAGAGAGTGCAAGGACTTGAATAAACGTACTTAATCTCCCACTATTCAGATCAGAACATAATTCTCCCAACTTCAACCACTATGTTGTTTAATGATCACATTTATAGACCTCTACTGTCCTTCAGATGTACAGCAGTTCTACAAGGGCTAACTGCTGTATTTATTTTTCAAAGGTACAGAGCATATGTACAGTTTATTAATCTGAATAAAGAAGAGTTTAGCTGTAATTTAAGACGTATCAGCCACAACTAATGCAAATGGTAAAGATGATAATTATGTATTATTTGGCAAATTCCTTGTTTAAAAATTCTGGAAATCTATCCTTTATGGATTTCCAGTGTTCTTCATCCAAAGCTTCATTAACAGAAGTCAAAATTATTATTTTTTTAACTTGCTCCATTACACAGTGAGATCTCAAGTTCTCCAAAGTACAAACAAGACAAAAAAAAAGGATAATTTGTGCTCTCAGCTTGGTGGTTTCACATCAACTGGTGTTTATCACAGTCACGGTGCCTGTTAACTACTGTTTATACATTAATTTCAGTATGATCCTTGCAAAAATAAGTATTTATAGTGCTGTAAGAATCTCTATTTTAAGTATCTGACACATTTTTCTCAGCCAGTGTTATTGTCAGAGTGTAGGTTTTTCTTTCCCTTTGAGCCACGTGGTGTACAATTTTAAATAGACAAAATGTTTACATTTGCAAAGATAATTAGAGACTGTAAGTACCATTTAAAAGGGCAGAGGGGAGTTTTTCCAGACTTGGCAGCAGCTGAGTTGTACACAAAGGTCATTCTTTTTTGCAAGGGCTGGTGAGGTGGTGGTTTGTACAGAGAATATGCATAACTGCTAAATACTCATCTGGAAGGAAGTATGAGGCTGCACGGTAATAAGGGAGGCTGTCATTCAATTTGAAAAGCCATAATTCAAGTCAAGGCAGAATATTATGTTTCTATAAAATTCCCTTTTATAGAAAAAGAACATGAGCAACATCCAGAACACAGTTTTCTGAGTGGTTCACCAATCAACTGGCATGTTGGGCAAAAGACTAAATAAAAACACAGAGGTCTTTGCTGCACTATGCTAACAGTCATTTGACTATTTAAGTATTGCAGGATTCTCACACTATAAATTGTATATTTTACATGCTGCCCTCTCAGAGCAGCCCACAAACCACAATCCCATCTACCATTGAACACCAGCATATATGAAAACATCTTTAATCACTCATCTGTAATCATTTACATTTTAAGTAACAGCATGAAAACCTAAAATAAATAGTCAAACATTAGAACAGACAGGAGATGTGAGACAATTTCTCCAATGTGACAAATCTTACAAAAATTTTCTCTACAAATTTTCCTAAAAATATTCAATTGATAAAAAAATTTCTACAGAACATTGAAATTGCATAAAGCAACAATAAAACCGAGGCACATGTGAAAGAGGGTAAACCTACAGTGTTGGAGGTTCAAACAACAACAGATCAGAGGCCTTCAGAGGCCCTTCACCTCCCACAGCAGGATCTCATTATAAGCCACAGAGAAGAGAAGCGTCCCAGAGGGGGAGAAGTGACACGTCTGCAGTGAGTCACTGTGCTGCAAGAAGTCCTGAAACCTGCCGCTGGTTGACTGGATCAGCTTCAGCACTCGCTCTGAAAGGAGATTAGACGCATAGTGACAATGTTATGACACACACGCTCCAAACTCGCGACAGTAGTTTCTTTATTGGCACCATGTGGTGATAAATAATAAAAAAAACAGATCAGAGTTTACCGTTTGATCCCACAGCTACGAGTTCACTCTTGGAGGAGAGGCTGATGCATGTGGGCCAGTGTGGAAGGGCAATCTTTTTTATTATCTGCAGAAAAGTAAACTATATTGTGTGAGGTTCCACACACCTCTGGTCCTGTACAGATACGAGAAAATTCATATTGGTAGAGCAGTGAAGAAGGGGGACAGCAAATTGTTACCTGTTTTTTAGTCAGGCTGTAATAACACAGCTCCTTTTCCACTCCATAGCCAGTGTAGACCACCAGGCTATAGTCTGCTGGGCAGAAGGCAGCCAAGCTGGGTGGTAGGCTGTCACCCTGCAACACAAAGAGGTCCCAGAATTATTATATACACAGTGGTCAAAAATAGGCCGAGGTTAATTTGAAGCTTTTAAGTGCATATCTGTTTCCTTCCAGTACCTGTACCAGTCTGCCCTGTATGGAACAAAAAGCAGGCTGAAAAATGAATGTAGCCTCAAAATTAAAGATGAAATAACAAAGTTTTTTTTTTATTTTTTTAAATGTATTCATGCTGTGTATTTTTGAGGTCTAACAGGTAAATACATTTCCCTCCACTAAACTCAGCATTGTTAGCTTTTGCATCCATGTTTAAGTTGTTTGTGGATTCTCAATTATCCAGGTCGTGGTAATTAAGGGGCTTCAATAAAAAGCAACTGGACTTGTCTTTTAGGTTCTTGCTGTGACTCACTTCATGTGTGAGCTTGTTAAACTCAGACTTTAAAGGTTTACTACTAGCTGTAATATTTGTATTTATTTTAATGTTGCACTAACAATGTTAGTCTACTTTCAACATTCTCTCTTAGTCCTGGAACTCAAATAATGTCTTGATGCTCCCCAAAAATTTCTATTTCTATTCAAACTTTTATAAAGTATGCCAATACCTCTTAACAAGAGGGATATTCAATACAGTTGAAACCAGAAGTTTACCTACACTGTAAAAAAAAGACATATAACCTTTTTTTCCCCTCAGTCTGACATTAAATCAGACTAAACTTTTCATGTTTTAGGTCAGTTAGGATTACCAAAATTCTTTCTATCTATAAATATTTCTCTAAAGAATAATGAGAGAGAGAGAGGCTTTTTTTTTGTAGAGAATTTGTTTTACTACTTTCTTCAAAGTCAGAAGTTTACATCCACTAAGATGCCTTCAAATTATTTGGGAAAGCCCAGATGATGATGTCATGGCTTTGGAAGCTTTTGATAGGTTCATTGACAACATCTGAGCTAATTGGAGGCACACCTGTGGATGTATTTCAAGGCACACCTCAAACACACTGCTTCCTTTTGTGACAACATGAGAAAATCTAAAGAAATCAACCAAGATATCAGGAAGAGAATTGTGAGCCTCCACAAGTCTGGTTCATCCTTAGTCTGATTCAATGTCAGACAGCGAGAAAAAAAAAGGTTATGTGTCTTTTTATACAGCGTATGTAAACTTCTGGTTTCAACTGTATGCGTGAGGGAAAGAAATAGGGAGAGACACGGCAGCACTTTGGAGTGACATTTCAGTCATTATCACGTATTATCTTTTAAATAGTAGATGTTACCGCAAAATAGGTCGGCGCAGGAAATGTCAGCCAGTCGAGCAGGTCGCACTTGTCTCTCAGCCAATCGGCAGCCCACACACTGACACGTCTGTCCACGCTGGCAGCCAACCACATCTCGTTTCCCTCTAGTCCAAAGTTCTTGCACTGGGAATTAGAAGATAAAACATCCTCAGCACTGATAAAATAAAATGTCATAAAATGTCACAAGAACCAAAGAAAGAAAGAAAAATCTTCTCTAATGCTGCTTTAAATAGCTTCACGTTGGATCTATAACTTTGTACACTGTAGCTGCAGAGTTAATAAAAGGAAATGTCAAGAAATTCTTTGTATGAAGGGCAGGCAGAAAACCCTGAAAAGTTTGAAAACTTAAAGACACAGAAATGTATTCAGTGCCTCTAAAACAGGAAGTGTTTTTTTGCCCCTGTCCAGTAAGTCTAAGTTATCAGTCAACATCTGAAAGTTGGCTGAAGGATGCTTCTAAATGGGTTGAGGTCATTTGGAGAGATTGATCCATGATGGCTTCATACAAATAAATGTTGCTTTCTATTACTATAAAATCGTGAATTTACAGTATATAACCAGTTTATTAAAGGGATTCATTTTTGCACTATTCGGTTAACTTTTTCAATGTAGCAGTCCCCAGCAAACAGAGTTGATGTGCTTTTCCAATTGCATGAGCTGCACTATTAGTCCAAAGCAAATTTTTCCACATTGTCAAGAGCCAATCATCTTTACAAAATAGTCTCTGCTGGAGCCCTTCGATCATTTGGATCAGCTGTAGACATTTTTGTCACCACGTTTTATGGCCATGGGAGTCATTTTTCTGGAGATATTGAACCCTCAAAATGGCTTCCCAGGAAAACGTTTTTTATTGAGGGTGAAAGACAAGAATCCCCAGGTCTGGAGACATGAAATTCTCAGAATTCAACCAAAGTATTTTACACAGCTTCGTTTTGGGCTCAAAATAACAAGTACACTCTGTGAATCTCTGATGGTAGAGCAACTATCTGAAATTGCAGGAACTGGCCCTACTGTGCTGTCACTCTGATAACGCTTCTCTTCTTGGTGGGGTTTCGGTGAACCGACCTGTTCATTCACGCACTGAATTGTGGTAATCATCGCTCCTTTGTGGTCCCTGATTACACGAATAGTTGCTCCATTTACTGGGCTGCTGACAGCTACCAGACCATTCCTCCCTGATGAAAGGATCACATGACCTGTAGGGAGCCAAAACAGTTACAAGGTTAACTGGATGAAATACAGCAGATCTACTATAACACTAAACTTTGCTGCAAGCACAGGAACCTGATTATGAACCTTGAATTCAAAGGAAAGTCTTCCTCCCGACTAATCTGTGTTGGTCATTTATACATAATTCTATTAAACCACTACAGTAGTAACTATTGGGACAAATTAATAATTTCCATGAAAGAATCAAGTAAAGAAGTAGATGGTGACAAGGAAAGCTGAGGAAAAGTACGGTGGCCCAAAAATCACATTTGAAATGAAATGAAAAATACTTTATTCATCCCAGAAGGGAAATTCAATTTTATTTAATCACAAACTTGTATAATTACTGTAAACAAATACAGTCGATGCACAGTTTTCATACTGCAGTCCTCACTGACCGTTAGCAGAGTACTGGATGGCAGTGACAGCCACCTGATGGGGATGAAGCCTCAACTCCATCTCTGTCGAGGCAAGTCGGAAGATCCTCAGGGTCCCGTCACTGTATCCTGCAGCCACACATGTGCTGTCTTTACTGGAGGAAGGACTCCAGCACACACAGCCGCAGGCCTGACCAAGAGATACAGACAAGGTCGCTTTCAAGTACACTCAGATCTCTTTTCATTTCTAACATTTCCTCAAGCGTATTTTCTCACCTGGTTGAGCACCTGGAACTGCACCACGAGTTCGTAGCTGGAGGTTGACCACACTCTCACACTGCCGTCCTCACTGCAGGTGGCAAAATGGCTCTCATCAAAGCTAAACACTACATCATTCACCTGGACAACAGAGGGGGGAAACACACAGACAATGAAGCCTCCCACACAACAAGCATGTTCTTTGGCTGAAGATATACACAGCAACCTGCATTACACTGTTCCTGTTCTAAACTACATAAATCTCTGCATGCACATTAGTCACGTCACACCCGCCACGATGAGTAATTACTCAACCTGTGGAAGACACTGAAACATGTTAAAAGTCTCAACAGTAGGGAATGAATTTGTTGCAAGAGTGCAGACAAAGCATGGCTGAGCATCAACAAAAAAAAGTATGATGTCTCCAAGAAACCTGTCCTGTGCAGTGACAGCTGACAGAGTAGTGCTTCTCTCCACAGCGGTTCTAGCGCTACATAGATGAAGATCCCAGCAGTGCTCATCAGGAATGTTAATAAAGAAATATATACATTCAACAATGCTTATAATATGACCAAAGAGCTTCGTTTTGCTAACTTAAAGTCCCAGAACGTCCTTATAAAAAACAGATTAACGCTACAAAACATGATCATTCATCTGTGCCTTTATTCTTGTCTATAATCATTTTAAGTTAACATACTACGCTATAGCTCAGCTGGTTGAGCTGGCGACCTGTGTACAGGGGCAACAGTCCCCGATGCAGCGGCCATTGGTTCGAATCTCGCTCATGGCCCTTTGCTGCAAGTCCTTCCCCCATTCTTCTCCTCCACTTTCCTGTCTCCATACAATAAAGGCAAAAAGGCAAAAAAAAACTTAAAAAACATACTGCATTAAGATATTCCCAGTGTGCGTGGGAAGTGACAAAAAGTTGCTGCTTAAAAATCTTTATTTCATGCCAAAAGGCTCTGTGAAAATAGTTGGGTTCACCTAAATGAAAAAGTAAGGCACACCAGTAAAACCAGTTAGTGTGAAGTCCTGCCTTTACTGCTGGAAAACACAGCTTCCTCAGAAGTCACATCACAACACTTCCACTCTGCAGGTGCTACACTCTCCAGCTGCCTTCACAATTAATTTTCTTCTTCTTCTTTTTTTAATCATCATTATTTACTTTACAAAACATTTCCCTAATGGGCACAAAATAAAGAAGAACAGAACAAACCAGAGTAGAGAAATAAATGAATGTGTAAAAGAACTAAGAATAACAATTAAAAACACTAATAGGTTGATAACAATTATTGGCAAGTATTTATTCCTTAAACAGGGTTTTCACAGTCTACAAGCCCTAAAGACATTTTTTCTCTCTTTCTCTGAATCAGCCTTTGAATTTAATAAAGCCAATTATGTGATGATGGCAGCTATTCTTTAACATTAAAGCATGTACATAATCAAATACTTTCTGTTCCTCCAAGCTCTGCGGACTTATTTTTATCCTTCTTGAAACTACCAGAAACTCAAAATTGCTCATTTGTAATTAAATATGAATTAATGGTGTTGCCATCTGCTCACTGAAATGTCATCAAAAAGTTTTAATTGCCTCCCTGCTGTTTCTTTACTTTTCAGCTTTATTCCTACATTCTGAGCACCTGCTTCTTCTCTGATGATCGCCTTTGATGTGTAATTGAGAGGCCCTTAACACAGACTCTCAGTGCAGACCTTTGGATTTTAATACTGGCAAGAAAAGCAGACGTTAATGATGTTTTTTTTTAATTTAAGTGAGTCAGTGACACCCTGTAGAGCTTCTGCAGGGTTTTCTCTAGTGCAAGACAGCGAAGGCCAGGATGACTGACTTGAAATTATGAACAACCTGGCTAATGTCAGAAGAAATTATTAACTTTTAATATAAAAAAGTGACACTGTCTTTTAGGAACACAGTGGGAAATATCTGTACTACATGTATAATACCGTGTCTCTGTTTTGAGCACTTCAGACGGTTCGATTCTTCTCTATCAGGGATAATTTTAGGCAAGTGAATGGTTAAGTTGGCCGGATTCTATTATCCTAAAAATATGAAGCACCATTTTCAAAATGAGGAATTGTATAAATGGGCTGCAAGGTGGTGCAGTGGTTAGCACTGTTGCCTCGCAGCAAGAAGGTCGCCAGTTCACGTCACCCGGGATCTTTCTACGTGGAGTTTGCATGTTCTCCCCGTACAGCGTGGGTTCTCTCCGGGTTCTCCAGCTTCCTCACACAGTCCAAAAACATGTTGAGGTTAATTGGTGATTCTAAATTGTTCGTAGGTGTGAATGTGAGTGTGCTTGGTTGTCTGTCTCTAAGTGTAGCCCTGTGATAGACTGGTGACCTGTCCAGGGTGTCCCCTGCCTTCACCCTGAGTCCAGCCCCCTGCGACCATAGTGAGGATTAAGCGGTGTATAGATAATGGATGGATTTAAACGTATAAATGTAGTTCTCATTTGAGCTGCACTGATTTTGGTAAACAAGACAAAGAACAAATCAGCTCTTTCATTGCATTTTGTACAGCTAAGCCATGGATGATTCTTTATCAAACAAACTAAACTGGCCGCAGATTGATACTGCAGTTTATTTGTTAACAAAACACATATTACTAGTGTAGCTACAGCTTTTAGTAGATATATAACCACGAATAACAAGTGTCATTGCATGAGGATGTTGTATATTGTAGGAATCTGTTTTCATCAAAATCAGTCATGTGCACATGGTTATTTTTCATCTCCCAGAGCTTCCATCGGTACCTTGGTCTTGTGCCCGCTGACCAGCCGGATGTTGCTGTTCTCTGCCCAGCTGATGTACCAGAGGGTTCCAGCTGTGGTGCCAACAATGCCCATGTCCATTGTGGTATCAAATGCTGCACTGACTATCGTCCCGTCCAGCATCACCTCTTGTTCCAACGCCACCGTTTTCCCACTGAAAGACAGACAGAGGTCACCGTGATTAAACAAAGACACTTGAGGTTTAAGAAGATCCACATTTACACTGATTTCTTACAACTGTTGTGCTTTTTAAAAATATTTATTTTTTTACATGACAGAGAGAACAAGCTAACTAAAAGTGGTTGAGCCAGGAGGAGGGCAACCACCATGAACACTGTATTTATCCATAATGACATATTTGTATAACACACCTTGTAATTGAGAGAGCCATGGAGAGCTCCTGCCTTAAGCACACTGAGGTCTTTCACAGTAACTGTTAAACAGCTGGATGATGTACTTCAACACACATTTTATTAACTGAACATAAAAAAACAAAGAAATCTACAGATATCTCGTGCAAAAGCAAGCTCGGAGGCTTTCTATGCTTGATGTACACATTCTCAGCCACTCTGTCTTGTCGATCACTTCAACTTCTCAGATAGATCTCACACACAGCACAGATCAATCCAGTGAGGGCCATAGTAAAAGCTACAGTTTCTGTTTATTTAAGTATTTTGCCATATAACCACAAAGCAGAACATTTCCATCCCTATACTTATTGGTAGGGAAGGAGTTCTTTTCATTTCTTTGGTGACTGTGGCCAGATGGATTTCAGCTTCATCTGTCTACAGCATGTTTTCAAAATGGCTGATTTAACTGGATTTAGCTTTGCACCCTTCTAACATTGACTTTTATGATAAAGTCACATAAAGGGTTCCTTCCGATAATGCATGTGGACCATGCACTTAAACCAAGACATCTTAATGACAATTCACAAAGTGGATATTGCAAGCTGGAAGCATTTTGCTACCTTTATAAAGCCTTTCCCTGCTCTGTAGGCATCACTCAGCTTTAGAATGCATCAAGCTGTAGAACTTTCATCAGCTGAAAGTTCCTAATGACCACTCATGCCTGCCTTACAAGTCATAAAGAGTCAGTTAGGGCCCAACCAGTAAATGAAATTATGACAAGCAGATGTATGCTGAAACCTTTATGCATTATTCGAAAACATTATGCAATAACATTTGGAGAAAGTTAAATATTAATGTGTTTTTTTAACTATACAAAAGACACTAAGGGAGACCAGTAAGAAGGACAACACTGTTTCTTAAAGCAGCTTGAAGAGCTAAGTGTGTACAGCAAACTTTTAGTAAAGTAAAAGGAGGCTACTTTCAAGAATCTAACATTTTAAACATTTTTGCTTTGTTTAAATTTTTTTGCCTACTGCAGCATCCCATATATGCTATTTCATGGTTCTGATGTGTTCAGTGTTGTCAGCGCTGTATAAAATATTGCAGATAAAGAAAAACCTTGAGTAAGTATGTGCGTCACACTAACTGATAGGGTCTGCCAAACACTTTGGCTCACCACGATGCGAGACAGCTGAAGTCAAAAACAAGTCGTACTGATTATAAAACTGATTAGCATCATTGACAGAAGGAAAAACTAATTTAAAATGTATCCAGAATTGAGCATTTTGCAACAAATCAGAAAAACATAGCCCCTTGAAACTTACATTAAAGGACTGACTAATACTTTAAGCTCATTATGAACTCATGAAGTACATCTGCCTTTCCCAGAACTCTTTGATACACACTATAACATAGCAAGGTGGTAATACAATAAAAACAATGATGCAGAATGACCTGTGAAAACTATGGTATGAAAACACAAGGGATTCTGCAATGTGCAATATCTTTATGGGAGGAAAACAGTCAAATTTTGATAAGTATTTTACCTTTTGCTTTTCAGTTCTCTGTGGTAATTAAATTCAGACTTAGGATGGCATGTATATGTGCATCACAAGGGATAGTCAAATAGGAGAAGACTGACAAAATAAGACACAGGAAAGGGGATTAGAAAATGAGCTACAGACCTGTCTTCTACATTGGAGACCTTTTCTTGAGGCGTCCCCTCCTGTACAGCTTCTACCTCCCACTGCCGCAACCAGCGGGTGTTGCTGCCTGTCAGCAGACGGTTCCCTCGAGACAGCAAGACTCCTACACCGAGAAACCATATCAATCTAGCTACCATCTATACAAGCTCTGGACTAAAATACATACATGATACATGACTAAACAAAGAATGTTCTGTGCAGTTTTTGTGTGTGAAGCCACTTCAGACTATTTAGCTAAAGATACTGCCAACTACATGTTCAAAATATGCTGAGTGCCCGTTTGTACCAATCTCTCCCTCATCGGCCTCCCAGGTCATGAAGCATCGCTGTGTGTTGACGTCCCAGACGCAAACATGTCCTCGATTTGTGCCAGTAAACAGTAAGGAGTCCATGTGGTAGCAAAGAGCAGTCAGCTCCACATCACCCACCTCTGCTGGTGTTTTCATCCTCTGGACCTACATGGGGGGAAGAACTGTGAATCCTTATGTACTAAAGCAGACACAAGCACAATCCCTACCTATTTCATAGCTAGATATGTTCTCTTTACACTCCAAATGTATACACAACGCATTTTAAGCCAATACAAATGACAAGTTCAAGAAGTCATAATTATACAAAGTCCACAGGTAAATAACAAATGAACAAATTCTTTCATCTTCTCCTGAAAACTGTGTTACATGGTTAAAAGCTCTAGAAAAGGCAAGTAAATCTTAAGTTGTGATTATATGTGTGGTTATCGATTCACTTACCTGGAGCTCGACATTCAGGCCCTGTGAGTGGATGAGGCAGAAGTAAGCACCTTGACTGCCCACGCAGGCCATTTGGCTGTGTGCTGAAGGGCTGAAGGCCGCATCGTGGATTGGACCTGATACACTCACACTAGACAACAGCTGGAAGTTCTTTGTGCTCCACAGAGCTACCTCTGGGTCAGAGAAGTCTCCTATAAGGTGTTGCGAACAACCAAAGGTAAATAGCAGAGTCATTTATTATTGTACCAATGGCATGTTGTCTGTATATTATTTGTAGTCAAGAATTCATTTTAAACTTGCAAAAAACTGTTTTCACTGAGTGACGCAATTAAGTTTTACTGACCGACAGAGAGAAAGAAACGGTCGTCCCTGGAAAACGCAAGACACTGCACAGCCCCCCAGTGGTGAGAGATGGTGTTACGACAAATTCCTTTCTGGACGTCCCAAATGCAGATGAGGCTCTTGCTGTCGTTACTGCCACCAGCTGCCGATGCCACCGTCTGTCCAGGAGAGAAGACAGACACAAAACACCACTGACTACAAAAACACAATACAGGTTAAACACAAAAAATAAAGGAAATGTAGATGGAACAAGTTGCTCTTATACTTTGATGGAGGAGCACTGCGATTTTTTTTTGGCCACTGATAGCTCCTTGTGTTTAATTTTATATCTTTTGGGACATCTAAAGTGTTTTCAATGGGATTTGCTTTGTTTTAAGAGAAAACTTCTACAACATCACCAGCTGCACCCACACTGTTTAAATGAAGGAACCTATGAAGCCATGTTAGGAAGACCAGACAGACCTGACTGGACCGTGATGTGAGTTCTTTGTTTTTACTACACACATCACTGTCCCACATACAGTGGAGAACTGAAAAATGTACCTGTGCATCATTTGTGACTGCAAGACAAGAGATCTCCTCGCTGTGGCCCTGAAAGTGTCTCTGACGTCCTGTATCCAGGTACTCCACCACCACCACACAGCCGCAAGAGTATGCGAATAAACCTGCAACGGAAATGAATACATTATCGATCATGTTAATGAAGGCTCTGTTTTATTTATTCATTAATGTCATTAATACTACCCCTGTTTAGCTGCTATTCTGTGTCAGAATGGCTGCTTTGAAAAAGGTCTAATACTGGACATAACACTAGACCTAATACCTTGTTTTAAAAGCTGACATGAGAGATAAAGTATTTTCTGTAATTCATTTAAACAGCACTTCCATTTAGGTTTAAATTTTAGCGTTCAGTCCAGCTTTAGTCAGTGTTTGGTGTGCTATGGATTATTTTTTACCTGATCAATGTTCAAGCAAGAGCTCAAAACCTTAATTAGAATTAATACAAACATACACAGAAACCTAAAAATCATTACCTCAGGTGTAATTTGCTGCAATAATTAAGCACCTGGATACAGACGGTTTGCACATAAAGTGTTCTCACACAACATCTCCAAACAATTTTTGGTTTTCCAATGTATTAGGTTAACCTTGGTCAGGGCTCCACACCATGTTGCCACGCCCGTTGCCATTATAGCCAATCACTGCTTTCAGCTTTATGCCCTCTTCTTGTGGTTGGGGAGCTACAACAGCCTGGAGCAGAGAAAACAGTCAGATAAAACCACAAACACAAATACACTCAGCGACTGCAGTCTATCATTACACAAAATGCTCTTTACCTGATCAAGGCAGGAGGTCTTGAAACGTGGGATAAAGTGCCTGTAACAATCTGGACGTACTCGCTTCTTCTGTTTCAAATGAACTAAATGACAAAGTACCACATGTTAAAACAAAACACAGTGAAGGTTCAAATTTTCCATAAAGAAGAAAAAACATCATAAAATTCAGTGGTAATGCCATAAAAAGCAGTTGGCTATATACCAGTGTCCATGCCATTGGTGTTCAGGGGAGACATGTGGACCAGGTCTGTGACTTTGAGGAACGAGACGGCAGAATCAGAGGAAGAAACCCGATTAGTGGCCTCGGCTGGAATGTTCGGGATTGCCGGAGAGTCATCACAAATAGACAAGGAACCCAAAGCTGAGTGACACAGGAGAGAAAATACTGGTAACAACTGGTGCTATTTTACCAGGAACAGTTTACTCCACTTTCTATGAAGGTAACTGAACAATGAAGATCACTCATGGAATTATTTCTGAAAGCATCCTGACTTTGTTGTTAACAAACAACAGTGGCAGGGATACTCTTTGTATATGCAAATTTAATTAGCAAGGTTGTGTAAAAAAAATTCTGAGGCTGTGTCATTGTTTACAAGAGATACATCATGTTAATGGCATGTGCATTTCCAGCAGAGGTGTGATCATATATTTTGTATACTGGGGGAGAATGAATGCAAATGTACTATAATTTATCATTCTTGCACTGGTCAAAGTACAGTTCTGTCAATACAGTACCACTGTCTAATACCTTACGGACAGACTAATCAATAATCAAGCGTTTAAGGAAATGCTTAAGGAGAGAAATTTGTCCACATCTGAAAAATGTCATACTGTCCAAACCATCACCATTTGGAAAGTTACACATTTCTTTTTTTTTTGTTTTTTGGGCTCCATATTGTATTGTATTGACATGGCCAGTGAGGAATTTCCCAGTTTGAAGGGCTGATGAAATGTCACCACAATGTAAACTTTATTTTTTATTTTTTCTAAAGTTGATTACTGTCTTCTTCACTTGCATGATCATGTGTCTTTGCTCCTCATATTGACAGACAACTCCAAGGCAATCTAAACACTTTCATTTAACTTCAAACCTTTTGTGAGCTCTTCAGTACTGAAAAATGAACCAGATGTCTAAAAAACCATTTCGTGGATAGGGATCAAATTACTTTTTAACCATTGCAATTTAGGTATTATTTTTCAAAGGGGCTGCATCTCTCACACAGTTCGTTCAATACCGATGTCAACCTACACACCTCAAAGCTGAGACTTTGATGTACTATCCTTTATTCAAAGCACAGAGCCTGAAGAACAAAAAGTGTCTCCATACACTTGTCACTTGGAACAAAACATAAAAATGAAGACAAGCGAACACACACAAAGCCGCTGATGACATTGTCATCAACAGCGAATAAAATCTGTAAATTGCATTAAGTTTGGTATTGAGTTTGCGACTGTGTAGGAGCAAATCTGTTCTTTTTAGCTGACTCTTCAGCCTCTGAGACTGTATGAGCTGATTATGCCATTGGTAAAGTTACAACAGAATTGAAAACTTACCTCCTTGGTCCACTTGGTCAGTGGTGCTGATGTCCAGTCGTGGTGGCGAGGAAGGGAGGGGTGCTGCCTGTCGAGGCATCCCATTGGACAGCCGGACTCCATTTACTTCAGTGTCTGGTGGAACTGTCACATGAAATCACAACATTAACTATATATTTGCAACTGCTACGAGTAACTGCATTATTTATATTTTGTATTTTTATAGCGAGACTGTGAACTCTAAATAAGATACCTGTTTTCGGAGCTGAGCTGTAGCTTACTCTGAGAGGTGAACTGTAAGTGAAGACAGAGTGGATGGGACATTTAGCAATAAACTCATGCAGTGAACCACACACATTGGTGAGAAAAATGAAAGAGTGATTATTACCAGCTGTCAGTCAAAGAGTCAACAGGATTTGCTAAGAAGTCCCAAAGAAATATGGCGTCTCCGACCGAGACGACGCCCAGCTGGTCAGGGGTGAAACTGACTTGGCGAATGGGCTGACTGTGACCTATGAACATCTGGTTCAGAAAAAACACATTTCAGCTACTAATAACACACAATCAACTAACAATACTCATACAGCAAAATTATATGAAGACATATTTTTTACAATGAGAATCAGTGAAGTGTTGCAGCACATAACTGGTCAGTTGTAACTGCTCTCATAATGGTATCATTTGTGCAGAAATTACAGTCAGACAGATTAACAAGACCTTAACAAGACCTGACTCATAATGACATAGTTCACAAAGTGTGCCTTTTGGAAGACACTAAATGTGCACATTTAATGGTTAGATAACTTGCTTGCAGAGTAGAAACAATTATATGATCAATTTGTTGATTCACAAACATTAACAAAAAATAATATGATGTTGTAGTCACTTTAAAGTTTATATGTACACATCGGTTTTCACAAGATCTGTAAATTGTAAACTTGTGTTGTTCAGAAGACATAAATAGCATTTATCAGTCACACAGACAACAACTTGCTTACCTGACTCATACTTGTAAAATAAATAAAGCAACAGAAGGACCTTTATCAAAAATAAAACTTGTAGTTTGCATCCCTGTCAGTGGTATTCATTCTAAAAGATATTAAATATTTAAATGTTGACTACCTGTGAGTTTGTATCGAGCTGCATGTTATAATCCCAAACTTTCACAGCATTGTGTCCGGCTGTCAGCAGGAATCTACTATCCTCACTCACAGCTAGAGACGAGCACTGGTGTTTGTGCACCTTGGACACCTGTCAGAAGGACAGAAATCCAGTCAGAAACAAACACTCACACAAGGATCGGTTGAAAAAAAGGATCAAATGACTCAGTACACACAGAACTTTCAATCTCATATTACTGCTTCTATTTTCAGACATATTTTCAACAACATTCTTCTAAACCTGTCAGCCTCTTGTCATAAAGAGTCATACGGCCCCCGATAGAAGCTTAACCCAAGCACTCTATCCTGTTTTCAAAATCAAATTCTTTGTTCCTTTAAAAGCAACCAGAACCTTTTAGGGTGAACTACGTGTTCCTACTGATTCACACTTTAAGGTCAGTACCACCAAGCGCACATTGCTATTCCTTATTTTTCAACACAAGTACTGACAGAAACTAGATCTTCTCGTTTCACAGGCCTTTCCAGATCTCAAGCAAACGCTCAATCTCTGACCTTGTCAAGCCATTTTTGGATTTTAGGACTTAAGATGGTAAGCTGATGTGCAAAAGATCTGTGGAGTTACCTCTCGGAGCAGACGGCCTGTCTTAGTGCTAACCCAAAGGATCTTGTTAGCAGATGTGGCAACTAACAAGTGTTCGATGGAGGCCGGAGAGAAGCAGACCTTCAGTGCAGAATCCAGACGGGGGCTCTCTACATCCAAAATACTCACATCTACATGTAGCACCTGAACAGAGAAGGTACGGGTCAATGTGGAAACATATGAACACAATAGGCACCTTGACCGTGTGCAAAGCTAGGATGATGTGATGCACATATTAACTGGTCAGAATAAAAACTTACAAACATACTGTAACATCTACTGTATGCAACTATGTTCCTTTAAAAACCCCAGAAGCAGAATCACACATAACCTAAATGGTGATGTTCTATTACAATATGACAAAGGAGTTGGTGTTGAAAGGTAACAGTGTACACAATACCTCATCCAGAGAGCGTGCATCAGCGATGGTTACAATATACTCAGAGGGACCAACAAAGGCCAGACAGCGGCTGTCGCTGCTCACTGAGAGAGCGTCTGGAGCACGCTCAGTGCCACGGGCCACCACATTACCTAAACAGTGAGGTACAGAGTGAATCACACAACACTCGTATTGTACATGGCTTCATCATGTGCTAATTTGTGGCTGTAATCTAAACCAGTCAGCTATTGAATAACTCACTATATCAAAGCAAATTCATGGCATATCTGGATAAGACAAAATTGCTTTAGTTGTGGTTTAAGTTTAAATTCAGTTCTTTGCCCACAATTATTCACAGTGTGTTTGGGGAAAAAGAAGGAGCAACATTTGATGAAAAATACACCTTCCCAGCTGTTAAGAAAGAGGGTAGAAATATCCTGCTTGGGGTTATGTGACAGCCAGTAGCACAGGAAACATTTCACAGACAGAGGGAAGACCCGGACTATCTAAAGCAGGCATCAAACTCCATGAAGTACTTCAAGAAACACAAGGTAAACCTTTTGGAGCGATCCCCACACTATCCTGATTTGACAATCCTTAAACATCTGTGAGTAGATCCTAAATGTGAACTTGACTGTGACACCTTAAAAGTATGTAAGAATTGGAAGCAATCTGCAAAAAAGTGGGCAAAATACAAAGTTAAATTGAATTTTAAAATCAAGTATCTAAAAGCTCTTATAGCGCAGGCTATAAATAGTGTTAAGAAGCCTTAACTTTTCACGACGTTGTAAATGGAACATACCATTTATGGAGAGAGGCCAAACTTGTGTATGCCACCCTTGTGTATAAGTAAGTGGATGCATTATATTACAATAAGTTTGTCAAATTCATCAAATTTTTGTTATAGAACAGTTAATAAAATTTGACAGTGTGCCTGCATGAATGTTTACTCTATGACTAATTGCATTTAGGTTCACATTTATGATACCAAATTAAAACACATGATGTACAGAAAGTAACTTTGTGCATTTGTATACATACATGCAACTTTGATCACATTGTGATCTTCCTCAGAGGAGTTGTAAAGTGCCAGAGAACCCTGCGAGTCAGCACTGTACATGAACTCCCCATCCGCAGAGAAGGCCAGACCCACCACTTCACCTCTGTGCTGCCTATTTACATTGGTACAAAAATAAAAGCAGATATTATTCTCTATCTACATAGCAATTATGGTGTCATGTGATCATTAATTGAGCCCACGCAGGTTTTTGATATCTTAAAAAAAACACAGAAATTGCTGCCACCAGAGGCACTTTCAAGTTAGTTACAACATACTGATGTTCAGCTAGCAGCTTCGCACTGGAGATGTCAAAGACCCTGACGATGCCGGAGGTGAAGCCACAACAGAAGGTCTGCTCACTCGGATGGAAGGCCACAGAGCAGGGGCTGTCCTCGGACACAAAATCATACAACTAAACACAGGAAACAACACAGACTTGTAATTAAACAGTACATATTCTCTTGAGCCCTATAACTTGTTAAGTATTTATTAATAAAGCATTCAAACAGTAGGACAGAGTTCTAATAAAAAGCAATATGAAAATATGTAGTTGTGACATCGGTTGACCTGATGCAAGGAATCCATATTCCAAATGCGCACTGTGCCATCAGAAGAGGCTGTTGTGAGATGCCGATGAACTCCATCCACACTGAATCCAAGCACGGTGTCTGTGTGTGACCTCATAAGTGTGTTATAACCACGGCTGCTTACATCAAGGAAACCAAGGTTACCCGTAGAGGTGGCTGCCAGGACCTGCAGGCTGTCAAATGAGGCTGACACCACGCTCACAGGTCCTTCATGCTCTGGAAAACAAGAACACGAGTTATTTTCCAAAGAGCAGATTTTGTCTTTATTGGTAGGAACATCAGTAGACAGTTGAAATAACAGCCAAAACACATAACGTGCACATAGTGTACATCAGGTCTGCTTGATTTTCATCATTTCTGCTATTTTAAACAGCAGCCCTGCTGGCACCACTAACAAATTTGAGATAAGAATTACGAGAAGAAGAAGTTGCAGCTGTTTTATTTTTTCACAGAGCCAAAAGGAGTGGCTCAATCCAATACTGTGTATCCTATTAGATTATAAGTTAATATTCAAACACAGAGTATATTTACAGCATTGTAGGTTAAAAGACTTAGAACATTGTTCCTTTCTTTAGAGGTAAAGAAATTATGCTGAACATGACTTATGATATGGCTAAAAAGGAAAGAAGGGTCCAACTGCAGACCTCTCTCTCCTGATGCTCTTTGTCCTGTGAGCCAGTGAGGTTTGAGGAGGTAAAGTAATATCCCATTGGATGAAGCAGCTTATATAAACCTTTGCTTGTGTCACCTTACAGTCCACAAAAACACATTTCTGAACATATCTGAGTCAAGAAATAATCAGTTCTGTAGTTCACTTTTATTAGACCAAATTTAAAATTCTGGCCCAACTTTCATCAGGCAAGGACAAATTCCTAATAGACTGTGCACCTTAAAGCTACACTGGAACTTGCATTTTTTTCTGTAATAGGTTTTACATAAATGGAGTGACAATTATCAATGTAAAGGAAGGAGTACCATAGCTCTTATTTATCCCCTGTGGTTTGTAGTCATAGCAAAGACATACTGATAATATCTTATTATCACCAGTGGGTCGTGATAATAACTGCTTAAGGAAAGAGGTCTGAGAGGGGTTGTTAAAGACGGTGTCGAAGAAAGTCATTCCAGTGAGACAGTCAGTGCAAAACTCCTAACTTCTAGTTTCTTGGTCAAAATTGACATTATTGGGATTGTTAACCAGGACAGAGGCAACCTGACCAACACACCCCACTGTGAAGAAGAATATGACTAAAAATACAAGAACTAAAAATTAAAACGCTGTCCGTTCAAGGGGCAGCATGGTGTGTAGTGGTTAGCACTCACAGCTTGCCTCACAGCTAGAAGGTGCTCGGTTCGAAACCCGGCCTGTGTGGAGTACACAGAAAGACCCCAGGATAAAGCAGTGTATAGATAATGGATGGATGTCTGTTCAAGGGAGACTGTTTATGACTGTTTGTTTGCTGCAGGTAAATGTCATCTACACTCCACTGTGCCTACCAGCCTCCAGGAAGACGGCAGAAAAATCATGGGGCCAGAGCCGCAGGAAGCCATCTTCAGAGCCGGTGGCACAGAATGATGAAGACACACTGATGCTGTTGATGGCAATGCCTGGACCTGAGGTGAAACACACACAAACACACACACACACATATATATTTTTTTGTGAGGACATAAATTTGTTTAAATGTTCACATTCTGAAGGTCTCAACTCCCTTTTTGAGGACAAAAATCCTGTCTCTGTAGCATAAATTATCAAATTTTAGATTGAAGAGACCTAAGATTAGTTAAGTTTAGGTTAGTTTTTCATCATGCCAATTTATGCTTTCTCATATTCTCTCGCTTCTAATGACCCATGTGTCATCATGAAGGATCTTCTGATTTAAATAAAGGCAGCTCGAGTTGAGGAGTATCAGGAAGACAGGAGGCATACAGTGAGGAGACACAGAAGTATCGCATGTGGAAGTCTTTTATCAAGTGACATGACATATAACCTTTCTAAATGTCTGTTTGATTTGACAGGTGACACAACTACGCAGCACTTCCCAAGTAACTGCAGTTGCTTAAGACTGACACTACAGAACATAGGATTTCTCATTTGGCAGCACTGGCTTCTCTATCCTCACATCTCTCTGTCTCACACCTTTGCTAGGAGAAGTTACAGAACAGACACAAGTGAAGGAAACAAGGAGACATGAAAAATAATAATGAAAAGCACCCTATTGTTAGGGTAAATGTCCAGGAAAGGAATTTTAGTAAAAGTAATGTCCTCTGAAGTGCAACACAGGGTTCTCACAAAGTTTTTTCCTCTGCCCAACCCCTACTTTAAAATACTAAATAACAAAGACTTTCTCTGTCCGACTGATTTCAGACCCACCTGTGTTAAAAGTCCATTTCTCTCTGTGCTCTGCGTGCTGCTGCTGTGCAGGCAACAGCCTCCTCACATTTCTAATGACAACCCTGCTGTAGTCAATCTCAAAGATATGGCCACTTCGACTGCTGACAAATCTATGGGAAGACAGTCACAGATGGAAAAAATAAATAAATTGTATAGTATAATCTGTTAACATTAGAATTTACAGAGGATTCAGATTAGATTTAGGCTTGTTCCAGGGCTAAATGAACCCAGTTTCAGTGATAAACTTGTGTACTCACAGTGTTCGATCATCAAGATGCTGGTCAGAAGAGCTTCCCTCCTCAAAGGCCACATCGGTGAAGTCCATTGAGTGGTATTCACCCAGGTTGACCGGACAGGAACGCAGCATCCCATTTCGCACTCGCCACAGACGAATATTGTCACGACCACATGACACCATCCTGAAAGCAGCACACTCAGATCAAGCTGTGATCTCAGTGTTGAAGTGAGCTCTATTTCGTTCCTTCTGCTTCAGCTTGAACCTTTTGACCTATTCCCAGTTTTTTTTAACCAATGTCTTCTATGCCCTCCTGCACACAGAATACTTGGCAGAAAATGAGTGTGAAAAAAACTTGTCCAGATCAATCTGCAGGTTTAACATCTAGATCTGGATTTGTCTTTGAAGAACACCTGATTCTATAAGGAGGAATTCTCACTCCTTAATTCCTCCTTATGTCCACCAAGGTGCCTTTTAACAGCACAGTGGGGAGTGTGACTTTTTCTATGCCTGAACACTCCCCCTGAATTCAGCCTGACTATGATGCTCAAGATTCAGATCAACCTGATCTGTCCTGAGGGCGCAGCACTGTGGGAGCCTTCAAATGGACTGCCTGTCATTGCAAACTGCCATAGATACCATCCATGAATAATATTATGTTAATGTGGCATTCAAACATAGACATGACACTCTTCACTCTATATGTAGTAAGTGACATAGCTCTATGGCATATCACTGTATGTTGTCTCATCTCAGGAACCTACTCCCTCCTCATATTTATGTTGGTGCTGTCCAACAATTAATCACGAGTCTGACAGCAAAGTCAAGTCATGGTTATACATTTAGCATGCTGAAAACAACATATAATGAGCCAAAGTGCTTTCTAGTAGGGAAATTAAGTTAACTAACAAAGTCTAAAAATTGAAGTTAAGATTCTAAAATTGTATTTCTTAAACATACTTTCTTGTCTAATTCAAATATTACAGGTAAAGATGCTAATGTGCCCTTATGATTATGACTTTAAGAACAGTAACCTGGTATCATATTATTCATTTATATTGGTTTTGCTTTTTTCCAATATGTATTTATGCTTATACATATTTTTAGATACATATGAATTTAACTAATTCCACTTTTATAAATTAACTATTAACCCAGGAGGTGGAGGACGGTGTGTTACAGCCACGCCATGACTACACAAGCTCTTAGATTTGTATATGAGCGTATTGGAAAATTAAAAAAGAACAGTTAAAAAAACGCTTTCGAGAACTAAAAGTGTTGCCAATTGCTGTCTAAAAACATGATACAGTCTATACAGAATGTATGATGTGTAGAGAATTGGCTGCCAACATTAATATATAAGGCTATTAGAAACAGAGCAGATGTCACCAACATTTACCGTTTCCACGTTAGCTCTCAACAGATGGGCGTAAGTGAGGACAGGGAAATAATCGATTTGAAACAATGCAACGAGAAAAATCTGAAAGGTTGCAATTTAGGGTGTATGCAGGGTGTCTGTTAAACAATAAAACCAATGCTATAACTTCAGTTTTCTCATTATTTAATCGCCACATCTCATATAATTTGCAGTTTGTCCTAATAAGGGTAAAATCTATTGTGTCAATCGTTTCACAAATTCATGTCACCCTCTTGTAGTGACGGTTTTCATAGTGTGGAAAATTACACAATGAATACTGAACTGAAGTTTGACTTTAATAAGATATTTGTGCCACATTATTCCACCCCCGTAGAAATGGACAAATATGTTTTTAAACATGCAAACATGCACTACTGGTGAAAAAAATGAATCATAACATAAATTATGGAGTTGGTAGAGTACCTTGTATCATCAAAGAAGGTGACCTTCATGGTGTGAATGTCCACATCTGTGTGTGCTTTGGCTAAGACGGTCACCTCTCCACGTTTGCTAACATTCAGAGTGTTCCACACCACCACCATCTAGAAAAGGTTGAATAAGAATGAGAATCATTGGGCAGCTGTGCAGAGTCACAGACTCTAATAAAGGGAGCATGTCACAGCATAGCATGTCATTAAAAATTATGCATATGAGTCAGTCGATGTAATGACATAAAGTGCTGCTTAGCATTGTTTCCATCTTGATCTAATGACACCCCATTGTTCTCTCTACAAATTTAGAGTGCAGCCTGTGATGATTACATTGACACACAAATAATAAAACAAGCTGTTGAATTTTCATGTAGGATCAGCGGAGCTTACTGTTTTGTTGTGGCTATCTTTCCCCACTCCACAGAGAATACCACCGCCGTGTGAGAAGCTTCAAGATGGAACGAGATTAACAAAAAAGTAAGTGTGAGTGAGCAGTGTTAAACAGTGTAAACAACTGTGAGTACATGAGTAAATGTGCGTCCGCAGTTGGTTACCTAAGACAGGATAACGAATGAGCATGAATCCTAAACATGGCCAAGCAGTTTCCTTTGTGGTAGTTCCATACTCGAACGACACTATTGTTGCCAGTTTGTGCTGAAGCCAGCAGTGTTGTGTTGCCATTAAAAGCCAGTGCAGAAACCTGGAGAGAAAACACAAAGATACATGCTTTAAGAATTTATATCATGTTACCTCTATTTACTGAATCTAATCGAAGACTAGGAATTAAGTGAGTCACCTGTGATTTAGGATCGCCAGAATCAGCTGTACCATTTTATACACTGCAAGAGATTCTGCAGATCAACACATCACAGCTCATTTACCTTATCAGTGTGGCCGATGAAGAATCTCTGCTGGTTGGAGGATATCTTCATAGAGACGATAATTGCATGACATGGATACACCACTGCATCGCCGGATTTGGTCCACAGCACCTACGGTGCAATAAAGTACAGCTGTTAACCCTTTTTTAGGGTGACACTAAATGTGTTTTATTTTTGACCTTCAAAAATGGCACTACAGTGTATGTGCAGTTAGGGTGATGAGGGCGTACGCATTTAGTAGTAGCTCCTCCGAAGCCGATGATTCGACTGAGTCTTAGAATGGGGTCTGGGAGCAGCTTCTAAAGAGGAAAGTAGAAGCAGGAAAGGTAAAGGTTTTATAACAAACTCTTAAACGAATTCTTTCATGGCAGCTGTTTTCATTTCACTCTCCACTGTCCTCATCTCTTACCTGCGGTTTGGTTTTGTTGGATGACTGCAGGGAGACAGGACGAGGAACAGGAGTGCACACAAACTGGAACATGACAAGATTAACAGTTTTTCTTATGCTGTTACATAACTATGTAGTCAATGTAGTCAATCAAGGTAGTCAACGATGCTTCTACACCTGCTGGAATGTACAATCTAGTCAAAATGAAGCTTTAAGCATCACCTCTTCTTCACTTTCCTCCCCATGGTTGCTGAGGCCATCATCAGGATGCACGTACACATGAACTCCACCATCATCAGTATCACAGGACTGTCTGGATGGCAGCTGGTGTGAACTGGAGCACGGTGACTCCTGCTGTTGGTCATCAGTATGGCCGAGCCAGTCCCTCTGGTAAGTGGAGACTACATCCAGCTCAGGTACATTGGCTACGACAGGGGTGTGATTCCTCGGGAGCTGACAAGGCAGGAGGAGAAAACCGAAAAAAAACATGAACAGCAGCCTTCAACAAAACTAGATTTGCAGGGTGAAAACACAACTTGATAAGGCGGTAAATGTTTTCAGTCTTACTAGTTTTGGGGTGGTGATTTGCTGGATGAGTGACACACGGTCTTGAACCGCCTTACTGAGGTCGATGCAGCGAGGCCTCTCTCTGACAGGACTTCTTTGGTTGGAGGCACATCCTAAAAGGCAGATATTCAAGTCAGTCAGCTACATTATCATTAGGATTACCTTAAAGTGTTTAGGTTTAAGGAAACTAAATTTTTTTCAGAACAGCTGATCCCACATTATACCTAATTGTCCTGTAATTAGAGCTGTAACAATGAATCAATTATTCATCAACTATTAAATGAATTTACAACTACTTTGATATTTGATTAATCGGCTTAAGAAATTAAGAAAAATTGTGAGAAAAAGAAATCTTATTGATCTCAAATTGAAATATTTACTGATGTCTTTCATCCTCTATGATAGCACACTGAAAATCTTTGGGTTGTGGACATTTGTCATCTTGGGTTTTGGGAGACAGTATTTTCACTCTCCTCACATTTTACAGACCAAACAACTAATTGACTAATGGAGAAATAAAAGAGAGGGAAATAATATTAATTTATTTCTTGGGTAGAGCAAAGTAATTCTAATTTCTTGTTTAAGCAAGTCGGAAAACTTTAGTTTTTTTTTGACAGTATTCACGCAAAAGCAGTAAAACACTAACTACAGGATGAACATAAATGGTCAGCAATGTATTTTGTACTTACTAGTTTCTGGCTGTGGACTTCCTTTTTGTATGGAGTCAAAAGGTAACTTTGTTCCTTCTGATGGAAACCTGTTGGGGGAGGACAAGATGCAGGACTCTATAGTAGCAAACTGTGATTGAGCAAATAACTTTAGTTTTTATAAAACTCTATAATAATCAATGTTATTTTACACAACCACTGTCTTGAGCAAATAAATCTGATCTTGATACACTGTTTAAACAACAGTAGTGGCTGCAATATCCATCCATCCATTATCTACACATCGCTTAAGTCTATCACAGCTAACCAGTCTATCACAGGGCTACACTTAGAGACAGACAACCAAGCACACTCACATTCACACCTACAGACAATTTAGAATCACCAGTTAACCTCCTCAACATGTGTTTGGACTGTGTGGGAGGAAGCCGAAGAACCCACAGAGAACCCACGCTGCACGGGGAGAACATGCAAACTCCACACAGAAAGATGCGAACCAGCAACCTTCTTGCTACGAGGCAACAGTGCTACCAACTGCGCCACCTTGCAGCCCGTGTCTCTCATATCAAAAGGAAAAATCCATCCTAAAGACACACTGACAGAGCTACATAATGCCAATCTGCAGCATGTACAATCATTTTTTATTTTTCATCAATGAGTTTGAGTTCTTCTTGTAAAATAGGTGCAATATTGCTCTGTTAAAACTAGTCAGTTCAGGTACGATGCTGATCCTGACCACTTTGCATCAAAACTTCCTCACTACGTGCATGCAAAAAAAGTGGTTTTGAGTGGATTTTGCCTTTAATACAACGTTCTGTTCCCTGATGAGATAACTGTACCTGATGTAATCATAGAGGTCATGCCAAGAGCCTCCCTTGGGCACAGGAAATGACATTTCTCTGGGCATGGGACCTGTTCCCAGAGAAGAAGCCAGGCCCATGAGTTTGGCTTCACTGAAGGAAACTCCTGATGACAGCGAAGGAGAAAACTGTAATTTAGTCGTAGACATGTTCTGTTAATTGATCTCTTCTATATGCTAAATTCGCCCTTAAAAAAAAAAGCCCTGATGTATTTTTAAAAGAAAAATTTGTTCATTTTTCACTTTTCACAGATCAAACTAGAAACAAACAACCAGTAACTCTCAGCTATAGAAATGAACTGTGCGTGTACACGGCGACAGAGTGAAATAATACATTAAAAACAATGACATCGATAGTTTTAGGGGGAATTTAAACTTCAAAAGTCTTGATGCTCACCTGGATCTAGCAGCAGGTCAGTGGTAAACATGTTTTTCACTGCCATGTTGGCACACAGCTTGACGCTCTTCAGGTGACTGTAGCAGCGCTTGAGGTAGACAGAAAGTGTGTGCTGCAGATCCAGCATCAGACAGGTCCAACGCACTGAAGTTGGAGCTGGACCCACCAAACCTGGATCACACACACATACTCTAAATACTGGCAGCAACGTAGCAATGCATGTAAGATCATTTACTTTATACACTAAAGTAAATTCACAGAATAATAACAATAATAAAAAAAACACGTATGAGCAATGGTTGCATACGTGTGTATGGATTTTACCATGTCTTGCAGATTTGGAAGTGCTTTCATAAACTGAATCCTTTGCAGCACCGCACAAGAACGGAAACTGAAGCCATGTAGCTGTAGACTTGAACTCTTTGAACATGTTGGAAAAGGAGATCCGGATCACCTGGCCCTCCTGTAAAACACAGCACGTAGTGAGAGGTCTTCCTTTCTATCCCCATTTTCTTTTGATTTTCACATGTAAATAGGTTTTATAATAAATGAAGGCTGAATATTTCACCACTAAGCATCTTGATGGGTTTTTATTTTGAACAGCATTGAAACGTACGGACGATATTTAATGTGAGAGAACTTGCTTGCTCTCTGGAACTTCAATGAGATTAAAAAAATCACTTTGAAATGTGAGTTACATTAAAGTTAATAAGGCAGAGTCTGGTGTTAGTCTCCCAACAGATTTCAAAATCAACTCCAATCACATGATGGTAAGAACAAAAATAAAAAGATTCCTTCAATGATAGATTGTTTTGTTTTTATGCCTCAACACGTATACATGTGCAGGTTCACCACAATAAATCAGATCTGATACCTCTGCAGCGACATCCAAGTGGACTACAAAGTATTTCCCGGGGGTGGGCCTGAAGAGAAGGTAGAAGAAGCGCCCCGTCAGCCCCAGAGACTGGTTGATGTTTTTGGGAACCAGGATGTAGCTGTTGGCAGGAACAGGACCCCTGATTCGGTACACTGGACTCTTGAGTTTCTTGTCCTGGGGGATTTCAAAATAGATAGAAAGTATTTGCACTTAATAAAATGATACTCCACCCACAATCTATTTTTTGAGAATCAAACTCTTGACATAAATAAGGAGACAAACTGTTTGCTTATAAAATCCCAAGTAACTAACTGATGTGTGATGTGAAGAAGCACAGTTTATAAGTACTTGGGTACTGGGTTGCTGTTGTTCTTTTAACTTTATTTATAAGGCACGGAGTTTGTTGACGTGCAGGCTCTGCATGTGCACAGCAGAATGAGCAAGACACAAGAGAGAAACATTGAAAAGGGAGATGGAAATGTTTTGACAACAGAAAAAATAGTGTTGAACAAATGCAGGTTATCTGTCAGGACTGTCTTACAACTGTTGCCACCACGTGGGGCCATGTGTCGGTTTTTTTTGCCCTCTGCTCTGTGTGAAGCGCGAGTGTGATGTGCTCTCTGTCGCACCCCTCTTTTTGGGGTGTGTTTTTCACTGTTTGCGAATGTTTTTTAAGTTTTTTTTTTTTTTTTTTTTGTTTTTAATTTTGTTTTTGCTTTGGTTCCCTTCATCTCCTCACCGAAACATCATGTTGTCATTTTTTTTTTTTTTACTGTCTTGTGCAGCTCCACTTGTAGCTGAAACGATTTTAAACAACAGATGCTGTGTTGCCTTAAAACAAAGTTGTGGTCTGACCTACAAACACTTTACAGCAAACTTAGAAGCACAGAGGGATTGAGTGTTTCATATTCAACAGAGAAACTTTTCAACTTTAAACATCACAGGTGTAGAGTGTCAAAAGCTACCGTGTATGATGACACGTCCCCCTCTTTCGTGGACTTTCTCCAGTCCTCAACTCTGACATGTTTGAATATGTTCACGTAGGGATGCTGCCAACCTGCAAAAACACAACAAGGTTCAGCAGCAGTTAGGCTCCACTTTACGGTAACAAACTCATTTATAGCAGCAGTCTCTGTTGTTATATTCGACATGTCCATGCTTTCAGACTATAATTCAAAACTTTAAAGCTCATTTTACCTTTAGAGGCCATCGGTAGATCTGGGAAAATCCACCTGTTGATGTTTCAATCTGGATGTTAGCTACTGCAGCAAACTGACAGTCAACTAAATGACCGGGAAAACTCCTTATTCGTCCCCACAGAGATTAACACGATGAAAAAAAAAGTTTCACATCATTACACGATATGAAAGCTTTTCCAGCTCTCCCGTGTACCGAGTAAACAACAGTCTTTGTAGCTGCTGTTATTACAGCACTTATCTCCTTCCCGCTCCAGCCTCCGCCGTTGCCAACGACAGCATGATGCGTTTGACGTCATGACGTTTGTGGGACGCTGGTGCTTCTGGGTAATGAAGTTTATCAAGCGGTGGGCGCGCAAGTGAAACTGGATTTGAAACAAAAAAAGTTTAGACTTCCTCACAAGATATGTTTAAAAGAAACTGTATATAATTTTTACAACTTCTTTGGTTTCTGTTGACTATTTTTGTTTACTAGCCAATATTGTGGTACTGCATTCATGACACATTAGAAGAGTCAATATAAATGTACTTTTACTTTTTAAATTGAGTTTGTTATTTACTTAAAAATATGCAATGTCTTTGATGACCACAGCTATTCACACAATTTTACAATTTACATGAAACTTATTTGCAGTTTTATATATTTACAATCAACCACATTAGAGCTTTAACGGTATGCAAGGCTGCATTCAGTCTGAATCTGTATTTACAACATGTGGGAGCAGCTCTACAGGGTCTTTAAGATGAATGAGAAAGGACACCTGCATTCCCACAGACAACTGTCCGGTCTCATCCTGATCATCACATTGCAAGGTGTTTCTGTTTACCACCGAACCAGAGTGCAGCAAAGAAGCATCAAGTTGTGGTGAGGTTTGTTGAACTTGACGTCTGAAAAGCTGTGAACTGTCAGGAGTGGGCGAGCCGTCAGGCGCTACCCTGGCTGCTGAGACAGAGGATCTGTTGCGCTCTGGCACCGAGGCGATGGAGAAAGTGTCCGCTCGAGAGTCAAGCACAGCTAGTCATGGTCCACAGCATACAATCTCTGTCTCTGTTCTCCAGCTGCGGAGCTTCCTCTTCAGCTCTGTCTGCACCTGCACCCAGAGTGGAGGTGAGTTATTCACGAGAAAATGTGACATCCATTTAGTAACATATCTTCGCCTCGTACTTGCGAATTTGATTTAAACTGCAAAGTGAATTTGTCATGTTGTTGATCAATTAGCCACTCTAAAGAACTACAATTAGGTTGTGCAAAATTCCGTCCCTAGACAAAAATGCTTCAATACTAATGTCATTTCTTTTGTTCTAATGCATCCTTAGAAGAGCTGTTCAGCTGTGAGTCCCGGATGACAACCCTACATGGGTTTCTGAAGAGCAATAATGCAATCTATCCCATCAGCATTATTAGCAGTATTTTAACATGATAAATATATGATTCACAAAAAAAACATGCACTTTTACACTTATCTAGGTTCATGCATGTCTCTCAGTGTCTTTTATATATTCAGCACCTACTGAAAATGAAATGAGTGTATTCAATGAAACAACAAACCTCTTTATTAGCATAGCAGTAGAGTACAGCCACTAGAAAGCCCTGCAGAGAGAGCACATTTTGAAAAAAGTCACTTTGATTTCAGTAAGGTGTCTTATACACTGAGCAGCCATAACATTAAAACCTCAGAAAGTGGAAGTTCATAACATTTATTATCTTTTGATGATCTTCCTACAATCACATCTATTAAAAGGGTGGGATTATAATGGGAAGCAGGCTAAGTTTTTGAAAAAAAGTGCAACCATAAGGCTCAGTCAGAGTGCGTGAGTGTTAGAACCAGACCATGGAAGACGGTGGCGTGGTCTGATGAATCAGATTTTGTTTGGACAGCCGGCTGCATGTGCATCACTTATCTGAGAAAAAATGGCAGCAGGATGCATTATGGGAAGAAGGACCGAGGAAGGCTCTGCTGGGAAAACTTGGGTTCTGGTGTTCATGTGGATGTTACGTGTACCACCTACCTACCATGTCCACCCCTTTACGAAAGCAGTATTCTCTGATGACAGTGGCCTTATTTAGTCATGCACCAAAAATTCTTCAGGACAGCTTATGGAACATGACAAAGAACTCAAGGTGTTGACTTGACCTCCAAATTTCCCAGATCTCAATCTGATTGAGCATTTGTAGGATGTGCTTTAAAAGCAAGTCAGATTCAGAACTTCAGAATCTGCTGCTAATGTCTTGGTGTCTGAATCCACAGGAGAGTTGTGGCTGATCAGTGTATTTGCAGTCTCAAGTATTATTGAGCTTACCTGAAATGAACTGATGAACAGGGTGAAGAACACTTTGATGTAGCGCAGAATGCCTGTTGTCTGCTCGTCTGTGGCGAAAATGAAAATGACCTCATGAATCCCAAACAGAGGAATGAGGGTAAGAGTGGCCTTGGCCAGCCTGAAAGCACAAATCAGACAGAATAGCAATTTGTCACATACGCACTGCTTTTGGTCGACATTCATTTTTTCATTCATATTACTTTCAAAAACCTATTAATGCTTTGCTGGGAAAGCTTTGACATCATGAGACAGAGTTCAAATAAATCTAATCAGGCCTGAAAACATAGTGAGATAACTTGCCGAAGTTTATAATCGGGGTATCGACTCTGGTTGTTGGCTCGTAATTTGGAAAATATTACTTTCAGGATCTTCATGAAAATCAGAAAATTGATCTGTTGATTAGAAAATCAGAACATGAAATTGTTGTATCCTGTGCAAAAGACACATAAATTGTGACATATTTTATGCAGAGGAGTTTGAAATATGAGACAACGACAAGTGCAAGGTAATAAACACTGAGAAAATTATCGATAATTATTAAGTAATTCTTACTAGTGAAGCAAAAAGAACTGGAAAACGAATGATCCACCAGTAGCTCATGTTTTCATTGACGGCCCAACACCTGACAAGAAAAGGGAGGCGTTCACATTTCTCCCATATATCTGTGGAGCTGGGTTCACACATCAGGACACTACGGACACATGCAGACTCACTTACTCCTTATTTTCTTTCAGGGTCTTCACCACCACCCAGGGAACCACAAATAGAAGTGGAGTTCCTGAGGTAAAAAGGAGCAAGGAATGCAAGGTTTAGGGCTGCAGCTCGAAAACAAGCTTCAGAACTACATGTGGAAGCAAATGTTTCCATGGTATCCATTTTTAAAAAAAACTACACTGCTGTTACAGGGCGCTTGGGTGTCACATAAGCCTCGTTTGATGTGTATTTGATAATGAGCGTAAAAGAAGGGCAGAAGCCTGATGGTGAGACATGTCCCCTGCTGCTGTTGTTGTGCAACGTCCTTCCTTTAAGTGCATGAAGTATGCTATTTCTATGATGTGCTCTTTGGTGCAAAACAGAATTAGACTTTAAAGGATAGAAAAGGGAAGTCATCTCCCACAGTTCTAGCCCCAGAAGATCTCTTCAGATGTGTGTTAAAGAGATTAAACTCACCCCAGCCGAGACAGATGTAAGGTAGGTATTTGTTGTTGTCAATGAACACTGACGCAATGAGCACTGAGTACAAATAAATTGCCTCTCCAAAGAACCAGTAGTGGTTGGCCAGCACGCAGTACTGCATTATCACCTGTGCTATCCTGCAGCCAATAGCAGCCTAGCAGAAATATGAACATAAACAGAACAAGTACAAAATAAAAACAAAATATTAAAAAACATGAAAATGCTAATTTGCCTTTAAATTTGTGAACTGCATGTAAACACTGAGCATTTTAAGTAACAATCTGCACCAAATAATAATAGTAAACCATCATGAGTAAATTTTGAGACCTACCTGATGACTGAGCATCTCACTCACATCGGTCTGTTTCATGATTTCTTTTCCCCAGTGGCGTTCCAACATATTGTCCTTAACTATGACAGCCACAGCTCGCAGGATGAAGGACAGGAAGAGGTTAGCATGAATGTAGTTTCTGGTGCAATGCAGCTTCCTGGCAGGGAGACAACGAAAAAAACAGAATTTGAATGTTGTGTGTCAAGGCTTTGTATTTGTTCTTTATTTTGTTGGTTTTCTTATAAGGTTTTTATTTATCACACAGGAAGCTCTCTTATGATCTTAGGAATGCGAAGGGAGCTTGACAACTGCTCGTTTCTAATTTGTATAAGGCATCTGTCAGTCAGCTTACCTGAAGCTCAGAAGAATGATAAGAGCCGTTATTAGGGTGGTCAGGGACAAGGAATAGCCAACAGTGTACAACATCCTGAAGGTCACCATCAGCTGTTTGAACCACAACTGTAAAGACAGATCCACAATGGCCATTTCTTGTAAGTCAGATCTTGCAAACTTACTTCAATTATATAGACATTGAACACAGAGTAAACACTGAATTGTCACTTTAGGGAGCCTACAGTGTTAAATATTTGAATATAGTTGTGCCCATTTTAAAAAATTTTATGAAAGTCTCACATATTCTCAGAATGTGTTTTTAAATTTTTCATCTCAAAATGCTGCAAAGATGGTTCATTTTACCGTGACTGTATAGCCTTTTCTAAACTTTTTAGTTTAGTGTTTATAGCTTGAAATACAGCTGAGCTAATGTGATCCACACCCCTTTCAGGAAGAAGACTCTGTGTCTGTGATTGACAGTGTGGAGCAAAAAGTTAACCACAAAGGAGCTGACACAATCTTGAATTAGCATGTAGACCCATGACATTTAATTTTCAGACTGATGGGGTGACATATCCATCACTAATAAAACTAATTCACTGGGCCTTCAGTTCCTCAGACGCTGGGAGTGCATGAATACTCTTGTGATCACTCTTGCAGCCGTAAAAAATCCTACTGGCTAATAAGGCTGGGAGACTTTATAAGTTGTGAGGAAACTTGAAGAATGGTGATAAAAAATGTCTTCAAATTTCACAGCTACGACTTGAAGTAATCTTGAAAAGCACACCTCCATCAAGGAAAATGCCCTGTCTCAGTTTTAAAGGAAGTAATCCAGACCTGCATCAAAATTCAACTGGTCTTTCCGTCCTTCATGCTCTGGCTCTCCACCAAAACTTGGCTTGGTAGCTTTTGTGTTGCTGACAGACAAAGCTCCTGAGTAGAGTTAATAAATAAACCCTTTATCCTGGAGACATTCTTGCTGCCATACCTCCTGGGATGTGACCTCTTTTTCCTCCTCACACTGGGTCATGTCTCTCCACACCTGCCCGCTCTGCTCTCTTTCCCAGAGGCCATCAGACCCACATCGCCTACGCACAACACCCTGGGACACTGGATGGGAAACAATCAGTCCTTCAGTCATTACCTGTCTATTCCCAATTCAAGACACGTACTGGGCAGAGGTAAATAGATAAACAACCTGGAAAAGTTAGCATTCCAGTGCAGAGGAAGGAAATGCAAAGATATATGCATACTCAGGTACACTGAACACACACAGACAAAAGAATCAAACAACTTATTGTAAACAGTTCAACGTTTGGGGGACATACCTTTATGTACTTGCAGATAGTTGGATGACAAGTTCAATACAAGTCTTTTCAATAAACAAGAAGAGCCAGTTGACCATAAGCTTATCTTTGCACAAAAAATGCAAAAAAAAAAAGTACGACAGTCTGGTAGCGTGTCAACAAAGGACCTATAACCATTCCATCAATGTGTTTTCAAAGAGCTGATAGGTTCGTTTTATTACCTTCTGATAGAATCTGGATAACATCTTCTCATTGCAGTCTTTGTGCTGAGTTAAGCTATAACTGCTCCCACAGACTGTAGGCTTTGCTTTCAGTAGTGGGGATTCAAATGTAAAATCTGGGAAATCTAAATATACACAGCAAAGTTGCACTCTCAATCATCTTGTTGTTGTTATTACCTTTGTCGTACCAGGGCAGGTAGAAGGGACATGAGATGTTGACCATAAATCCAGCAGGAGTATCAGGCCAGCAGGCATATCTGTCAAACGTCCTGTTACAGAACAAGCCTGCTACAACGATAAACAAAAAGAAAAGACAAAGACAAGCCATAGAGGATAGTTCTCTGTGCAATTTTAAATGACTTCCGGTACAAAAAATGTAGGTTTCTGGCAAGGCCGTATTTGCGAATTACCTTTGTGGCAGACTTGAGGTGGACTTCAGGTGTGAAAACAACTGGCAAACAGTCTGACCCATTTGCCACTTCTATTTTTAGTGTCACATGTGACAGGCTAGCTTACTATGCATGCCTTATTCCTGCAGTAAACCTGCCATACATTAACCAAAAAGTTATCCAGAAGTTTGCTGCAGGTCCAATTTGGATATGAAAATATAAATCTCCTGCAAAATTGGGGCAACACTGGCAGAGGTTTGTCAGTTCTCCAGCAGAAACTATAACGACCAGAAATGCTCTCAGTGACAGACACAAACTTACGTGTTTGCCACTGATGGCATATTTGTTATCAGAAAGTTGCTAAATGGTTGCCGCAATTGAGAATATGTATGCCAGCAGTGTCAAACTTGTCATTATTGCCAAAATGTTACCGGACGTTTGGAAAACTCGAAACAACACGTCCTGGGAACCTCATCTACCTGCTGCAAATCAATCTCAAGCTTGCCTCAAATCTGCCACAAACATTTTGCTTTTGTAATAGTTTCACATTTTTTTCTAGTTCTGTTGCCAGATCCCTCCGACTCAATTTCCAGAAAAAGTTTCTCCATACCTTGAGGCAGCGGCTCATTTTCAATCATCTCGACACAGCTATCTTTATACTGGACCCATTTCCGATAAGTCTCCTCTAAGACTTTCCCACTGACCATCTCAAACTGTAAAGATTTGCAGTAAAACATACTTCACAAAATCAGTTTTTCACTCTCATGTCTTGATGGAAGAATTTTTTTTGTTAAATCTGCAGTTAAAGTCACCTCCTGTAAACTAACCTGTGGCAGTTTGAGGAACAGCAGGCAGATCATAGCTATGAAGTCGTGCGCCAGGTTCATTTCTGCAGACTTGATCTTCCTTATCAAGAAGACTGCAAAGTAAAAGCAGAAGAGAATGTTTGTGACGGATGATAAATAAGGTCATAAGGTTTGAGTTCAGTCAGTGTTGCCCGAATTCATAGCCAAAGGCCGCTGAGAGACAACCACTTGTTTATCCATCAGGCGATCTGTGTTGTCCATAAATCTAGAATAGAATAGAATAGAATAGAATAGAATAGAATAGAATAGAATAGAATGGAATGGAATGGAATAGAATAGAATAGAATAGAATAGAACACAATAGAATAGAATAGAATGGAATGGAATAGAATAGAATAAAATAGAATAGAATAGAATAGAATAGAATAGAATAGAATAGAATAGAATAGAATAGAATGCTTTTTGTTGTCATCATACACAAGGTACAACAAAATTTAAATCTAGTAAAAGCACTGGATTTTGATATGAGTCATTGCACCTACAAAAGCTTCAGTTGCTGCCTGTTGCCTTGCAGTCAGTCATGTTGAGGACAATGTATGAAACCACCGACTGTTTACAGCATCCTCACAAAGGCACCACAACCAAAGTGGACAGAATTTACTGTTTTTCTTTCCATTGCTGGCTTTCATAAAAGATCTCTAATAGCTGGTTAGAGAACAGCTTCCTAAAAAGCTTGTTGCTGTATGATTAAGGCCGACATAATTCCCATCTCCCTCCTTGTAATCACACACTGATGGGAAGAATTTCAGACTGTGGCCAATCGTAGTGGACGTAAAAGGGCTCAAAGTGACACTAAATGTATTCTATGTCCCACATTAAGTATGATTAAAAACCATATGTACTAAATACTGTTTACTAAAGTAAGGTGTCCAGATTAAATTTAAAATATAAGAACTCTACATGCTGATTCTTGTTGCCTTAAAAGAGGAAAAAACTGCGTGTGATGATAGACTGCCACTTTGAATCACCATCGCTTAACAACTGATTTCCTAAAGCTTTGACGCGTTGTCATATCATTATTATCACCTTGTCATGTTTGGACTTGATGTGTCAAACACATCAAACCCTTATTTACACATTCAGGTAAGTGGCATTAGCATTCATTTGCTGTTATGTTTCTGGTCACCTGGCAACACGTGACGTGATTATTTATAGATTTACTGTAGCTGCTTTCATTATAGAGTTACAGCATATTTGCAAAACAGCATATAAACAAGTCTAAATGGGCATAATGTCACCACTTTTACAGAAAGAAAATACTTCTACTAGCTAATAAAAAGGCATTTATATTGTATAGTCACCCACAGTGATCTAATAGGAAGCCTTGTATTGATTTTTTATCTCTCAAATAGCTTTTCTAATTTAATAAAGGATAACTTTATTCCTAATAGAAAGACTGGCACTATCTAATTTGATATTGAAGAAAAAAAGTCCCTGACCATAAAATGGGAACTTTTGCTTCACTGTAAAAATTGTATTTATGCCGTTGTTGAAGTAAGGTATTGTTTTGATGGAATTTCATTTAGCTTTTCTTTTTTTTTTTTTGATGATGGCAGTTTACTTTTGTGGATTTGATCAACTTGAAATTATACTTTGCCCTCTTAAGCTGGTATTTTAATTTCAAACAAAGTGCAGAAATTAGGTTTATTAGTCTTTTAGCATGGCATGTCTGGCGTTACGTTGTTTAACTAGGATTACGAAGTAAAAGAAAATGAAAGAAGTCTAATGACACAATCATGTTTTCTCTTTTACGTTTAGGCAAAGCAATTAAAACTTAAATTGGAAAAATGCAAAATGTCCTTGAAATTAAGTTGCAGCAACTGTTTGCTTACTTATTAACTGAATTTGTTCAATTGTATGTTACCAGCTGAAGTGATTCATCTAAGTTGATCCAATGATTCTCTTTTTTTCAGTGTACCCTTTATGGAATGTGGACTCAGCTATGAACTTACAGCCACTCAAGGATTTCTATGCAAACCTGACTTCATGTGTAAACATAAAAACATAAAAACTGCTAATAGTTAGAAATTCTACAGCACACTCTGAAACTTGGTCTTGGTCATCATCATCATCTACAGGTTTGTTTCACAGCCTCTCTGCCTCGGACACATTGAGTTAAATTGGGTAGTGCTTAAAACAACAGCAGATAAGTTCTACTGGGGGTGTTGTTGGTTCCTTTGAGCACGGCACTTTCTGAAGTTTTTGATTAATGTGTGATATGAAGTCGGTCTTGAGAGAAGCGTGCTGCTTGAGTGTAATATTTTCTGATGGTGTGTCGTCACGTGATCTATGACCCAGTGCAGCAGCTGTCTGGTAGGAGCAGATAGTAATACAGGTCAGGGTCTGATCACCTTGTGAGGTCAGACAAGGTAGATTTCATATTAATCTATCGTTTGATTGCTTTTAAAACCGAGATCAGCCCATCTAAAAGGGAGTTGATTTTTCCAGAAATCGTGTTTTTTGAAGCATTTACTGTTCATGCAATAAATAGAACATAACTTTTGTTTTAAGCTACTGTGACCAACGTTGGAAAGCACTGACAGACGTGTACAAAACTTTCTGTATATCATGGCAGTCTTGATTTTCCAATGACCACTACGACATTTAATTTTCTATAATGGAATCTTATAACCTATGTGTCTATGACAAAGTCAGCTGGGTCAAAAATATACATTCATTTATCAATTGATGTATGATGTAGAAAGCTCTCAAATTTTCTTAGTGGGATGGTCTCCTAACGTTTTGTAAGTAATTATGATTGACTACAGCTGGTGACCAATTAAAACAGGACCCAGCTGATACACTCATGAGACTCTGCCACAAGCACTTCAGTGAGAAAGTCTGAGGAGCTCAATAAAGATCTGAAATAGCAAATCATTGGTTTGAACAAATCAGGAAAGTCACTTGCAGTCATTTCATAGCAACTACACATAGCAAAATCATCTGTGCAAACATTTTTATGTCAGTATGAAGTGTATGGTACAGTTGTGTCACTGCCACGATCAGGAAGACAACTATCTCCTGCTGCTGAGAGGTAATTGGTCAGGATGGTCAAGATTCAGCCAAAAATCACCAAAAAGAAGGTCTGCCATGAATTAGAAGCTGCTGGGACACTAATGTCAACATAAGAAGGAAGCTGTTCCTCTGGATGCAACACCTTAAGACTCAACAACAGTTTGCTGCTGATCACGTGGACACAGAAAAGACCTCATGGGGGAAAGTTCTGTCATCAAATAAAACAAAAATTGAGTTATTTGGCCAAAATGACCAGAAATATGTTTGGAAGGTGAGGCCTTTAATCCCAAGACCCCCGGACCTTCCCCCCAGGCTTGTTGTTGTTGTTTTCTTGCTTTTGGCTTTTTTTGTTGCCGTTGGACTTGTTGTTTTCCTTCATTGAAAACTTCGGCTTCCCTTCAAAGTTGTTCAGGAAAGGGTTAATTCGGGTTGGATTAAGGTTCAAGGTTGGACCCGGAGGTTTTAGATGGCGACCAGAAGTGGTTAATTGAGGTGAAAATTGCCAAGAGATGTTTAAACAAATGAAGAGTTCATTTGCAAAAACAGATAATTCCATCTTCACAAACCTTCAGAAAACCCACTTTTCCATCATTTACCTGAGACACTATCAATCAAACTTAAGTTATCTCTATTGTTGTCATTTCTACTGAGTCAAATCCCCTCAACTTCAGTTTAATTGGTATTATCTCAAGCAAACAACAACAACAAAAAAGTTTTCTGAAAATCAAAAAAATGGAGTTATCTGTTTCTGCAAATCAACTCTTCAGATATTAGTGTTACTATATGTATATTTTTGACACAACAGGTTTTTTTTGGTCATATTTCCTAAATACTTTTAATATATCTGTGGAAGAACCAAAAGCCATGATTGTTATTTTGTGACAAAGACGCATGTGTTTTGTTGATTCCGTCAGTCATTGGAAGCTCAAGACTGCCATGTTACATATGGTGTTTACTAGTTTTTGCTTGTAATAACATTCAGACTATAATATAATGTTTGAGGATAATAACAATGCCTAATTGGGCTGCTTGTTTATGAAAATCTGACAAAATGGTATGTGCATAATAATTTGAACAAGATGCAGTCGTGCTGTGTAGCCCCCCACATGTTAACTCAAGCCCCTGCTGCAGTGGTGCCACATTCATTAGCAAAGTGGACTCAGGGGGCTTTTTGTTCTCATCATCTGTCGGGGTCCCACCTCAGGCTCAGTGCAGCCTGCCAGGTGGCACTTGACAGTCGCTGCCTGTGGCAGCTTGAGGAACGACAAATCTTAGTTTGTCAATGCAGGAACTGCCTCATGTTCAGTGTTCTCCACTCTCCGAGGTGTGATGGTAGCAAGCAAAGTGCAGCTGACTGATTTCTGAGTGGCTGCTATTAGAACATTTAAAACAATGATACTATTCCAACAGTGGGATTAAGTGAAACCTCCTCTCATGAACCATTTCAGGGTTTTACACAACTTAACTGCTCCCTTGCTATTTCACATTGTAAAAACCAAAAAATATGGAAGTGTTTGAGATTTTTTTCTGTATTTTTTAAATACATGAAAATGTTAAAACTACAAAAATAGACTGCACATTTACGTGTGAAAATGTTTTTTAAAATTTTCATCTTTTTAAAGAAAATTGATTGTTTTGTGTAAAAGATTTTTAAAAAATAAATGTCTTATAGTTTCACAAATATTTCTATTTCATGGAGCCTAATTTCACAAACAATAGTCACATAATTAGAATTGTCTGTTCATTACCACTAATTGTATCAATATTAGAAATATATTTGTTACTGTATCCAGTGTTATTATTATTATTGTTACTATTGTTGTTGTTTACTAATGTTGCTGATGTTGTGTTGTTTCTAATACAATAATTTCTCTGAGGTTTGCACCAAAGGGATCAATACAGTTCTATTCTATTCTATATTTACAATATTAAATTTGATTTTAACGATTTCTATTAAATAAAATTGAAATATTAGACAAATTACAATGAAATTGCACATTCATTAA